TTGACGATAAGACTTTTATTTGTCTGTAAAAAATTAAAAAAATGCCGCAAATAGATTTTTTTATAAAAATATAAAAGTCCATGCAACGTATGTAACTCATGTCTCTATATCAGCTATGTTTAGAAAAATCTCTCAATTCTGATAAATTCTGGAGTTATCTTTTAATAACGATCACAAACTAAGCAATAAAATGGTGATCATATAAAAATACCCCATTTAAAAAAAAAATTGTTGTAGTAGGAGGAGATGTTATTAATCTATACCTAACTATATGATATTATTATCACATACATATGTATTATCATATATATTTGTAATTAAATTAATTTATGTTACAGAAGAATAACAAGAATTAATTTTGAATATTAAAAACAGACCTTTAATCCATCAAGACAAATCCAATACTGAAACAAAGTTTCGATTTTTATTCATGACATAAATCAAACAAAATTTGTTATTTGTTGACACCTGTTGAAATTTCGTTAAATAGTTTAACCATAAAACCAGATAGTTTACCCGAATCAGTTTAGAAAAATATAAAAGAATTATTATCAAATATAATAGTTTATAGTATAGTAGTAGTATTATCTTAATAAAAAGCTATAAGGTCTACTATAAAGCATATCTAGCATATCCATAATTGTTGGTAAATTAATTTTAAAGCGAATATTTATTTATGGGTTCTAATATTTATTTAAAAGGAAATTTCCGACTTTCTAACTAATTTTATTAAGATTAAGAATATCAAAAATTCAATTCAATATTAAAATGTCAACACACATTTCAGTTTAAGGTGTAATTAATTAAACGTTACATTAAGCCGATGTAGCAATTCGTCTTTAGTTGTGATGTAGAAACATCTCAGAAGCTGTGTTTTCGGTGCGTGTCTATTTATGATAGACAATGATCCAAGATTACCCACTGACTAATACATAAACCGCACTGGAGATAGTGCGGTACGTATAAATTATGGAGTGCACTCGGTGATATTGTGTTTCACGTCCGGCGGTTTAGACATGGGCTGGGTATATCTGCGTGAAAAGGGCGAAATATTGCACAAATTTCAAAGTCGACAGGACAGCATTCGATTCGTCCCGGTGTTGGGTTTCATTGCGCTATATCGCGTCAACCTCGCGAACGATACAAGCCTCATGAGACCACATAATAATGTTTTATTCGATGCGACGTTTATTGAAAGTTATACATTCTGGGTGGCGCGTTCGAGATGCAAAAATATATCGTTAATTTAAATAATATCATCATAATATAATTTTTTAATTTTAGTATAGTGATAAGATAACTTAAAAAACGAACATTTTAGAATAATATTTAAATAATTACCAAATAATAATAGCAAATAGTAGAGTTAATAAGTTATTTAAAGTTGAACTATTAAAGTTAAATTCAACATTTGAAAACGATTAAAATACAACTGTTTGTAGTGTTAATTCACATACGTTATTTCAACTTGGACCATAAATTGTAATAATTTCTAAGTGATGCTTTGGAAATGCTAATTTAAGACACACTAGCTGCCCGCATAGGCAGTATCAGCCGGCTATCAGTAAGATTCTATCCTCAATATTGTTAATCCGGTAATTTGAATTTATTGCACACTGAATAAATAGTGTTCTAGCTATCGGAAAACATATCGACACAAGCACCCGCGTACTTAGATCGAGCTTGCTTTCAGAACCTCCTCCTTTCTGCCGCTTTATACGCAGGACATACCAATGCTTAAATGTAACGGTTTCCCATCTCTTTAGTATTCACATAAATGCTAAGCAATTTACAAGGGATCCTGCAAAAACAATACAACACGAGCGATAAATGACAACAGATTCTTTTTTTTTCTCATTGTTCTTAAACAAATGTTTTATAAGGCATACCAAAGCTGGGAAGTATTTAATCTCACGTATTACTTGTAGCAGATGTGATTGTTTCTCCTTAACGGGCAAACAGCTCTAATCGGAACATCCTCCGAGCCGGCTGTGTCCGAGACGCTGGCGTTAATTAGACTCCTATTGCATTCTGCTGAATAAAATACATGAGCGGTGAGGTCAGAATCTGTTCGTGGACAAAACACAGGAAGACTTCTATTATCTACACTTACAAACTAAAACCTTCCCAGCCACGCAACGGTATTATATTTTAGCGGTCCGCGACCCGCTAAGGTGTGGACCAGCAATCAGGAATCATTATTTACAGACAGCTATTATCATCTCATGGCTTTTCTGGTTTATTATCAGTTTTACTCGTTATGTGGTCTCGGGAAGAATAAATTATGCTATTAAGTCAGCCGATTTGACAAATTTATTTATGACATTGAGAATTCATTTGAGTGAGCGGAACAGATGGTCAAGTGTTTATAGCATTTATTGGATATTATCTATTTTTATAAGAAGGGAATCATTTATTGAAACGATGAACACACCTATAAAAGTAAATACTTAATAAGAAGAACGAACTGTCCACTTCGACAAAACGACGACAGCGTACGCACAGCCTCCAATCAGATAAGTATATGTAAATAATTATTAAATATTATCGAATGTCAGATATGGTCGTTTAGGTGGCCGTTCTGTTATCTATGTTATTTGTTGTTAACAGTTCTGAGGGCGCTAGACGTGTTATCGTGTTGAGTTATGGCAACAAGAGGCGCGGGTGCCGTCTCTGGTTTCAGTACTGTCGCTAGATAAGGTCCGTGTTACCCTGCTGACTGCTCATCACGTAATGTCCCCAGATAGTATCTGTCTTACGTACAGGTGCTCAACGTTAATGGCATACTTTTATGAATGTTAAATTTGAAACGACATAAATGTCCCCGTTATTTTAAAGGGAATAGAAACGTATGGTATTTTCTTGGTTTATATCATTGTATTAATCTATGAAATGTTTGATAGCCTTTTTGCGAATACTTGATAAGTTTCAATATAGGTACAATGTCAAAAAATTCAATTGGGTTCAGGTCTAATGTAACAGAATGATAATGAAGTCGCCGACATCAGTCGCCCGTATTTTCGTTTAGAACCCGTTATAAAATATTGGCTGGCCCAATCAAATAAATCATTTTACTTTCGAGATAAGCTCTCCTCTATATTATTGTTAAAATCGAAAACTGATTACAGGCCATTTGTAATAAAGTGCTAAAGTAATAGCATACTTAATTAAATCTGAAACATCGAGGTTGGTTGAGTGCAGTAAGGAAATACGGATACAATAATAGCATTATAGATTTATATATAGAGCTATATTATAGATGTGAGATATCATTATAATGGGAAGCTGTAGTACAATAATGCATTTAATTTAATAAATGAAAGTCATTGTGCCCTCTTCAACGATATCCGTTTTATGTTTGCTGAGTGAAATTTATTTGAATGTTGACAAGAATCTGCATTCGCCTTGAAGGGTGTAACAAACAAGTTTTATGTAGTCGAAGTAGATAGTCCCTGCAGGACGTCGCCCCGAAACAATTATTTTTAGCAGACAGGTTTAGCCTTCACAGTAACGTGAATTATGACGCCAGATACAACGGTTCCGTATGATACCAGAAAACAAATTTTGGGAGGCAGAAATTGCATAATGTTAAACACTACACGTATACAATGTTACAAGTTGTATTTTTACTGTTGTCTGACAATAATAATAAGTCATTAAATAATTGCTTTGCTTGTATATCATCTAGTGTCACAATAATTATAATCGTTCGTTCTAACCCACATATTTAGACATTCACTGTAATTTACGATTTCTGATTAATATTTAGTAAACTAAGCTAACGGCTAACGTTTTGCGTGATTCTGTCCAATGGCTCATTCTTATAAGACGTGCCAATTGTGTCCAACATAAACATCTTTCACAATGTTTACTTCGATTCTGTTAATAGTAATATCTCCATTTTCATATAACTCATATATTCTTCGCCTTACGTTTTACACATAGGTCATTTAATTATTCATATGTACTACAAATGATGTATAGAAAATTATATGACAAGTTGTTCAAGATCATCTTAGACTTATGCTCTATCAAAAAAAAGTATTTTTTTAATATAAAATATCTGTTAGATGTTTGGATATTGAATTGCGTAACAAAGAACTATTATTGTTTGATATCTAGAGTTGTACGCAAGTGACTCTCAGTAGTAGAGAAGGTTGTATTTACTTCCTGTCTCCGGACTTACAACAGCAGAAACTGCTGGACACTTATTTGTACTCCACTCATACGACAAATGAATGTCTAGTGTACCTGCCGCTGACTAATTCGTTTCGACAATAACTAATTATTTTAAATGGTATATCAAGATATATTTATAGGAACGTTATTGTTAAAACTAATTAACTCAAAGTTAATATTATAAATATAATTAACATGAAAGTACAAAATATATAAATTTCTACAGTAATAAACTCAAAACGTATGCTTTCTTTAGTCTGTGTTCTCACATGTACCTATGACAAGAGTGTGTTAATAAATTGTATATAGATGTATTCTAGAAAATGTATTTTTTACACACCCTTTATACAGTGGCTAAACACACTACTATAAATAGTGACTTTTGCACTTAACCTTAATCTAAAGTTCAACAAATACAAATTGAAAGAAATTTTATGCCATCTGCCATCATGATAAAATCTATCTGAAGGTAAGATAACTGCAGGTATATAAATTTGAATGGAGCGCAATACTTGTTCTATTTGATTTGTAACAGAGGGCAATATTCTTAGTGGTGTGTTATTAGCTACTTGCTATAGCAGCCCGCGGCTTTACTTGTACTGCGTCTATTTTATTCTTCAAAGCAATGCTATAGTGGTCGTCCAATAAAACACTTGCAAAATACAAGTTAGTGAATTAGTTTAAGATAGCTATCGGTGTAAAATAGAGCGAGTTTTACCGGAAAGCTATCAGTCATCTACTTGTAGCGCGATAGGTAAGACCGATAGCAAACGAGCGTTGTTTTAAGGTGGAGTGGTCTCCGCTAGGCTCTGGCGACTAACCGGCTGTCATCCACACAAAGTTATCACTTCTATAACGTCTCCGATATGGCACTTTTAGTGCAGCAACAAATGAAGCGGTTGCATTAAAACTTGTCCGGTGCATATCTTAGCGTAATTAATAGCTGAAGATAAGCCACGGAGAGCCTCTGCGATACCTTCGTAAGGTCGGACGTGTTCCTGGCTGTCGGGAGCGCCGCCACCGGCGACCGGCTCTGCTTCTATATTAATAACAGTCAGTCGATATCAGTGCACGCACCAAATGGGAAATTAAAAGGCTTTCAGGGGTCCGATCATTAGACTGATTTGTAGTTCGAGCATAGCGGCGCCGGGCTTTAGTCTATTCAACGAATATCGTAATCGTCAGACAAGAATCATTTATGTTTAATACAATAGTTAATTTGACTATACTAACTGGGTGGTACGGCAGATGTAATCTGTTGAATGACCGCTTATCGAACAGAGATATCTCTTAATTGCAATGTTTTACTTAAGAACACATTCGTTTTAACGTCATTTTCTCACTATACTGTGTTTAACAAACCGGTGTTACTGTTACCGCGCGGTGTCTTACAAACGATACAATATTGTAGACTTGTATAACAAGAATACGGTATGCATGAACATTAGATACAAGTCTAAGTTGTAGGAACGCTATTAAATTTTGTATTATGTTATCTGTCCTGGCTAAAATCAATAAACTAACGGATGTAGGTTATAGCTGTCTCATATAATGATATGCATGATACATTTATCATATATAATTCTTACGTCCGGTGTGGCAGATACTGTTTTGAGTCTCGGGGCGGTTCTAAAGCACGTAATCGTGCAATTTGTGCCGTCATTGTTCTAAAGTAGCGTTGGTCGTATATCAGTGCGGCAGACGGGGCCAATTGATACAAACGAGCGCGTGTCACGTCTAAATATAATATTAGGAATCACGGCGCGAGCCAGGATATATTAATTTGGAGTGGTTGTCGCGTATTGCTAAGGTATGCGCTGGTAATGTGCTCTAATCCGATAGGAAGACGCTCGCTAGCTCTACAGAGTAACAGATTACACGTAAAATGTTCTGATTGTCTGATGTCAGGAACTGTTCAGGTATTTTTTTATACACTCGAAGTATTGAAATAAACTAAGTATAAATATAAAATATAAATTAATAGCCATTCTTAAATTCAAATGTAATAACAATAATAAATATTAAAGTGGTACAATACTTACTTATATGCTATAAAGCATCTACCAACAGACCATCCTTCCTTAAAAAAGGGTCAATTAAAAAAGCAGCAAGAATTATTTTTCTTCATGAAGATAAAATTGATTATTGAAACCAATATACGTAAATCACATTTAATATCTTCATCAACGGTGCTGTCAGTGGATAACATATCTTACGTCGGATGAATTTTATAGCTTGCGGTGGGCCCCTGCTCTTTTGAAATAAGATTAAATGATTTACGAATGAGGTCAGAGAGGCAGTGGGGTCGGCCAACTCTGTCAACCGCCACGCGCTCGGCACACGACAAAACATGCGCTCGCGCCGTCAAAAACCGTTTTTCTTATAACCACATCCTAATACGATATAATAATTAGGAACTTTCTCTTATTTCATATTCATATTAGTTACTGTATTAAAAATATTTCCTTATTCATAACTACGCCATTATTGCGTAATCCTATGTCAGATCATGAACTAGTTATCCTGCTTAAATTATTAATGTGGAGTTTTTATATTGTTACAATTTATCTAGTACTCCCATGACAACTATAACGTGACATAAACTTGTAAAATGAACATAAATAAAATGATATCGTACAATAACGTAGATCATTCCACAGTTATCTAACAATAAATTACAGTAAGTTGGTCCTATGTCTTTTGATATCAACTCAGTCTTAGTCAAGGTTTTCTAAGATTATTTGTTAAAACTAAGTCTTTATATTATTTCATTCCATTATTTTACTATTTAATTATTTTCATTTTCAACATTGTCAATTTCATCCTTCTAGTGTCACTACTTAAAAATAAATCATAATGAAATAATATAAATATAAAAATGTCATAATTTATTAAGATGAATATTCAGTAATGACACTCTTGTTCATATTGTTCATAGGTCGCATAACTTCATTACGAGCTCAATTGAATAAACTGTGATAGGAACGCTGAGGCGCTCTGCAAGTTGATTGCTCAAATTTCCTCTTCAACTATCACAAAGATATGGTGAATTTCTAATTGGATAAACGTGTCGTTTCCTATTTAAAGGCGACGGCGGGTGTAACGTTTCCATTTAAACGTGACCTCTTATGGTTTCCTTGAATCCCCTTATGACGTTCAGACATGGTGCGTCGCGGGGAGCGGGGGAGATCAACTTATGAATGTGGTAGGGTATATCGGGCACGCGCGCCGTCATCTAGAGTAATGGTCCATCAGATCCCAACTTCTCTCGAGTCTCAATAAGTGACTAATGAATTGGGTTTCACTTCAATGATTTTCACAGCAATTAATCTTTTTAGTTTTCTAGAACAGAACTGTTGCCTAATCATATTAACGAGGCAATTATTGGAACATCTTTACATATGAAGCTAACGTAAATTGATAGTATATGTTTGATGAAATTTGTTTGTTTTATTTCTAATTTTACGGCGACTTAGAAATGTGTTGTAAGATGGCATGTCGTAAATCACAGTGCGATGGGCGGGCGATAGTGCTCCCGTGCGCTACGTGCGCCTGCGCCGCTTCAGAAGTTCATGCACACACGCTCAAACACATTACACACACTTTTCCTACAATTCAAATTTTATTCTTCTCCTATGTCATTAATCATAAAAGCTTAACTCGATCGGCTCTATCATTAAAGTTAAAATTGACTAAATCTGACATTTGATTAAGAGAATATTCAGCGTTATTGGCTTTCTTAATTGTGTATTTTTGTAATAAATACGATCAAATTACATATCTCAGATTCAAATCGTAAAATGAGTGGCTTCTCCTATTAACTAATCAAATGATCTTATACGTAACGGTATAAAACACGATATATTCGATTATAAATTATAAATTTCATTAGTAGATCTTTTAAAAGTTATCAAACTGATTATAATAACAAGACATTAAAATTGATTTAAATGCTCCACTTACGAGATGATAATTGATTTATTTTCTTATTATATTTTTTTGACACCTTGTATTTTATGATGAAAAAAAAGGTGTATTTAATATGTATTACTTTTTAGAAAGGTCATTTTATTAAGATGGTAATATTAAAAGAAAATTTTATATGAAAAATAATGTTAACATAGAAAATAATATTGACACTGCGTCAGAATGTTATCTCAGACAGATATATGAGGCAATTTATTAGTTACTACATTTTTATCAGTGATATCTTCAGCGTTAAAATCGACACCATCCACTAATTAAAAAACAAATTAAATAGCTTGTGTCACATCTTTTACGATCATTGTCAAAGAGACGGTTATTTTAAATACTACTTGTAAGTTGTAATGATACCTGAAAAGTTCTGATAGTGATAACGAAATAAAATTTACTATCCATCAGATAAGATCAAAGGTAAATAGCCTTGTAAAACGTATATTAATTAAAAGTTAAAGGACCGCTAGCTATTTTTAAATGTATATTATCAAGACATATTGGAGTACTAAATAAATTTCGGTCAGCTTGCAAGTTGGATATTACTTTAAGTCATGCACCGGGCTCTCGTGGCGAATAGTATGAGACCACCATAGCAGTGCTTTACTTACGATTTATTGTTATAAAAATAATGTATCATTGGCGGTCGACCCGCACAATGGTTGTAACAAGCCTCGTGTACAGTAACGGCTTTTGTGTGTTGTTCTTAGTAAAGATACTCTATCTTCTTTAGCTGTATCAATAATATGACATTACAATTTATTCATAAAAGAGTTTATATAAAGTAAGAATTAAAGTTTTATTGCTACTGTTTACGTTTATGAATTTAATTATAAGATACCTTGAAGTTTATTTACATACTTTGCTGTACATGTATTTGATCTGTGATAAATTATATTTTGATATGTTATTTTTGAACATACTTTTATATCTTTTTGTTGTTGTACGAGATCTGAAGAATGAAGTTATTCCAATACATTGATCGATGATCTAACTCAGCGGTTTTTGATCTGGGTATGCCAGTAGCATCTGATGGCTTGCTTGGTACACGTAGTAGATGCAATCATTTCAGGTCTTTTATTATATAATAACGTAAGGAATAATGAACATTACTTAAGATATATTCGTATTTTATTGGTAATTTCATATTCATGATCCATAATGATTTATATGCTGTTAAATTGCATATAATCTCAAATCTAAAGTGGGTTCGAGAATTGCAAATCTGATATGAAACAGCAATTAAATTCTATTAACAGTCCCCTTGCAACCTATAATTAAGTGACAACGTTGGAACGACTGAAATATATCTCATTCTTATTTGAATGGGCCGACCCGTACGGAGTTATGAAGTTTTGTTGCCATAATTATATATTGGAAAACGTTAAATGACAACCAGACGGCTAGAAAACGTGGACTTTAGATTTTCTATCAGTTTCTCGCGACATTTCTTAACTACTGTTCAGTCTTTGATTGCATGCTCTCGGCCGGGCGTTGTTCATTACATGTTTCATATAAAAGACATCTAGATTAGCTTCGTATGCTGTAATGAGGAGACGGCGAGAGTATCGTAATTAAACAACTTGTCAAGCGTAGATCGATCAGTGATATTAAACTGGATACTGGTTGTAAATTAATTCATAATGAAAATAAAGAATGAAGTTTCAACTCTCGTGTGTAACCGGTTTGACAAATGGTAAGGCGAGTGATGTGCATTTGTAATAGTGTTAGGTGTCTCGGATGATAGCAGAGACTGTTAATAAAGCTACCGCGAACGAGGTTGATTGCCAATGATAAATAGACGTTCAAATGAATGCTAAAAATAGCGAAACAGAGTCTACATTAAACGAAATTGATGCCAGGTATTATTATTTTGATGTAATTTATCTCATACATGATCCCTTATAAAATCAATAATAGATTTTTAACAATAAAAAAAAAACGCTAAC